TATCGGGTTGCCAAATTTGTAAAGGTCATGTATTTTTCTGACAAAGTGTGAAAGTCGTGATTAAATTGCCAAACACGTAAAGGTCGTGTTAAAACCTGCCATTATGCCTTTTTGTTAAAAATAATTAAAAACAGTTTCACAAGCTTTTAGTATGGAAGTTCTCAGACGAGTCGTTCGACGGTGCCGCCACCATCCTAGGAGGCTGACAAGAATCCCCTCAGCCATTCTATGCCCAAATTAGGCATATCGAATTGTGCCTCCAAATCCATGAATTTCTGCCCTCCGATAAAATGTCGCCGCACTAAAGCATCGAATTCAGGCCGTTGTCCCCTCTTCGTCCTCTACCTTCATCAACTTCGACACATTATGGATATCCGGCGGTGAAGAAGACACGGGGACACGCGCCATCACCGCCACGTTGTCGACGGTATCTCCAATGAGGGGTGGTGGTGATCAGCCAAATGCCGGTGGTCTTCAAACGAATTGCAGATGTAGGTTTCATATGAATGATTTTTAAACAAAATTAAAATTGAATTGATATTATCATTTAAGGGTTTCAAAAAGCCAAATTCCATAAATTTCATGTAATATATGAATTCATACTCAAGAAGAAAAAATGTGACGTGGATAACATTGGCTGGACAAGGTGACATTTTTTGAACATCCAACGAATCTTAGGTTCGTTTTGCAAAAGTAAGACAGTGTAGAAATTATATTGCAATTAAGTAAATGTTTGAATCAAATTGCCAAACGCTAAAAGGTAAAAGTTTACATAGAACATGCATGTATTTACCGCATAATTATGACATAGATATCATCCTCTAATCGATTTTCGCAAGTGCAGAGAGACAAATGTAAAGTGTGCTAAATTCAAAGTTACTTTGCTCAATAATATTAAAAGATACTCCTTTACACAACAAACAAACTTGAATTAATCACAAGCCTAGTGCGCCGAGGGGCGTCTTCCCCTGCCCCGCCTCGAAGTAGAAGATGAGCATCGCCAGCATGGCGAGGCGCGCGTGCTTTATCTCGGCCAACTTTAGCCGGTCGAGCTTGTCGGTGTCGGGCACGTACACCCCGTCCTTAAGCGTGCCTGCG